AGTGTATATCGCACAATTATCTGCATGTGAGTGTGAGTCGTTGCTGCGCTCATAAAAAAAATGATACTTGTTTACGTCGATACGTCAAAAAAAGTGTCGCGTCATGCGTGATAACTGACACAACCGTTTCTGTACGGTTCACAAATGCGCATATCGAGATCGAAAATATTTGAGTGTTTGCCGTGAGACTAAACTCCGAAGTTTTTGCTTACGTAACAATAATAGCGAGAGACTTGTTATGAAATAATCATAGATAATTATAAGTTAAAGCGTTATTATTGCGAATGAAAAATTGAACTGTTTCATTTTCTATAGGATTGATCAAGATTGTTGCATGATCGAGTGTTTACATGGATGATAAATGAGTTTTTTTGCGCGATTTTCAATCATCGACATCTAATAACGCACTCTCCTCTGTGATTAGGATCTCAATTGTGCTGATGAGTGGTTCGGACACGAACATTGAACACTCGTCGATTTGTCGCGGCGAAAGAAGCGCGTGCGAAATGTAAATAGTTAGACGTTTATGCATACGTAATGATATTCGCAAAAATAAACGTGCCCAGTATTTATACGCCCTATTTTATTTTAGATGATCTTATATTAGGATTCTAGGATGAATCATTAGTCGTGTCACAGGATTCTAGGCATCACGGTGAATCATTGTTCGTATTTAATCTGTTGGTCATTGGTTTGAAATAAACGGATTCTTCAAACATCTTCGAAAAAGTATGGGTGAGACAAATAGCGCTAATGTACGTCTGTATCGTAACGTAATAAAGTTGTTTTTCTCGATGATTTCAATTAGGCAAGTCCTCGGTAGCGTCATAACATCATTTAATTTGCTCAGAAAAAGTGATTTCTTATTTCGAGAAAGAGAGAGAGAGAGAGGAGGGAGAAAGATATTCGCATCACACTTGGAATCATCGCCGAATGTCTTACGTAACGGATTTCGTGGAAACGTTTATCTAGTAGAAAAATATGCATTGGCCAATGCTGAAGCAGCCGTTATTCGTACATTAGCCTAATAATTCTGTTTGTTCCAGCCGACGACGCGACAAGCAACTGACTCACGCACTCGCGACTTGCGCGCAACCCAGATCCGATTTTATCTCCGTGCTGTAGCGCGTCGCGCATCGTGCCATTACGTAGCACGAGAAAAACAACGTACGTCGCCGCACGTCGCGCGTACTTGCGCGCTCGTAGAAAATTATTATCTTCTTTCATGAATGGATCGGCCGCTTTAAAAACGGCTAGAGAGAAAGCGCGCCGAGTAAATTACTCGTCGAATCAAAACGCGGCGATCATGATTTTATCGGTCCGAAGAATCGGCGCCCGAAGGGCTACGAATCACAAACTAAATCGGTTTAGACGCATCGAGGAAACTCTCAGCGACACTTTTAAACTCCGTTACTTTTTCCTCTGCTCATCTATCTCATCGCAGAGATTGCAATAATACGAGAGTTTTAATAAGTCAGAAATGAAAGTGAAAGCGAGACGGCTGTTTATATTTACGTCACGGTGATCGCGTTATTTTTCTGCGTATTGTGTTTTCTTTGATCAGTCCCGAAGTCCAGGCTGATCACGAGGAAAGTCAGTAGTAAATGTACGCTGATGTCAACGGGGTCGTCATTTGCGTGCGAATCGCACGCACATGCATTCGTTACGCATACCCGGGCTCTTTCCTCGCGTATAATTAACGCCTCGGAAAGGTGGCATCGATTAAGGTGCTAACGTCATGAATTGAAAACCTCACCGAGGCTCCGCAACGCCCGAGTTCTGAAACTGCGTCGCAATTGTCGGGCACCGAAGAGAAAGAAGTGAAGCAAGAAATAAAGCAATCGGAACGCGCCGCAGATATACGAGATAAACGGAAAGCCTTAACGACGTAATTGGAAGGGTAAACTGCGCGAAACCAGCAGTGCCCGTAATTCGTAAGCGATGCAGCATGGCGAAACGAAGGAACGCAAATCGGGCTGACGTAAATTGAGACGCCGCTCGTGTAAGCAAGACGCGCGCCGTTCGTGCGTAAATACATATAAGTTGATAAAATTAGAATAATTTCTGTTTGCTTGAGCTTCAAATTGTATACTTACATAAACATTTTTCGCGAGGCAAGATATCGCTTCGGTGAATTTATGAGCTAATAAGTATACTATTTAAAAACTTGCATGTTACGTAGAGAGAAAGAAAAAAAAGCGTATCAAATGACCTCGGGAAAAGAAGTTGATTAAGTCCAACGAAGGCGGTGAGTTATGACGTCTTTTTCCAAGCCAATCACAACCGTTCGACACTAGTTTCGATCGACTGGAATTGTGACAATGACTATCACGGACAAGGTCGAGCGATCGGAGCGAACGGAGGCGGATCTCGGAAAGAGAAGTGGTCGGCGATAAAAATGAAGAAAAAAACGAGCGGTGCTATTTTCGATAGAACAGCGGGCCCGCATTCCTGACTTACCTCATGCGCGTAGATTATTTCGCATTTGCGCGATTTCGTACAATCGTGCGACGCAATAATTGCGTCACACGGCTATTACTTTGAAAATCAATTATTACGTTATCGTTTGAACGAGACGAGGTGAAATAAACTTTACGATAAACTGCAAAAAACGGAACAAATGGTTATTAGCCTTGCAAAATTATTCAAAATATGCAAGATTATTTCAAATTATGGAAACCGTAGCTGTTCGTTCAATTTAAGCTTGAAGTAATTACGTCATAAAAATGGAAAGAGCAATTTTGTCGAGATCGGGAAAGGGCGATTGTTGAAAAGAATTTTTGTACGAAGACAGACGTTGCTTGAAACTGTTCTTTATTGCGTCAGCGTGCAAAATTGATACAAATTGCTGAATTTGGTTTGCAAGAAGAAACGACAATCCTTCGGTTAACCCTAGTAGGAGCGCGCGGATGGATAACGTCTCTCGCTCTCGAGCACATTTCTAATCGCCGCCAGGCTTTTATAGCACGCGTGCCACCGCACAGTGGATAATAAATGCGACGGACGATGATAAACGGCGCATAACACGATCCGAGTCGGTGATGTACACATGCACTCGAGGGATTCGTAAAATCGCTTATCCGTCGTCCCGCCGACGAGAACAATAATTCATCGCGCTCGCGCGCGCAAAATAAAAACCGCGCAGACACGAACCTCTTGCACCTTTCATTCAGGCGGCTTTTACAGTGACCACTCCCGGCGCGCCGGTGCTCTATAGAGAAATTCAAAGCAACCTTGAACGAGAATTAAAATATCTCATCGAATATGTACGCAAATTTTCGCCGGAATGATACTCGAGCGTGTGTCTTCGGTTGTTTGTTCAACGCCGAATTTGTCGAACGACAATATTAGCACAAGTTGATTCAATTTGTCTCAGGTATTTTCAATGCACTCCGCATTCGTTGTACGTCATATCGGATCTTCTGCATGATGAGCAAGCGCGAATTAAATAATGATTGACGTCGCTCATGACATTTAATCTTTCATTTGGCGGGGAAGATAAAAGTGAAGCTGAAAAAATTCCTCTCGCAGATCTTCCGAAGTTAACAACAATGTGTCTACATATGTGTCAAAAATATGTCCAACATTGTATCTAAAATCAATTTCTTTTTCAATCGACACGGTATTTTTAGAAATGGAAAAAATTTTGAATGCAACAATGATTGGAGTTCAACTGTAATAGCTAGCACTATATTCAGTAGATAAGATTCAGTGGGATAAGATCATGTTGTTCGAGAGTAACATTACTAAAGGATAAAGTAAAGTGATTAACTCTCGGGAACAGTTCGAAATAGAATGGCGCAGCTGGAGTCAATAGTATGAGAACCACGTATTGTCGACAAAACTAGACGACTCATTGTCGCGTTCATAAATTCTCGTTAGCCTTTGCTAACACCGTGTAATAACGCAAAGACGCTATTGCGCGGTCGAGCACGTCTAACGGAAACGTCACGTTTATCGCGTATTCTGAACAAAAAGTTCACTGACTTCCGCCACGCTGAGTTCCCACGTGAAACTTTAATCAAACTTATCGCACCAACCTAATTTAGCTTTTTACCTTTCAATTAAGAATCAATTGTAATGTTTTTAAATTAGAATTTTTCTAATGTTAAAATTTTCAATTATAACAATTTTTTAATAATAATCATTCTTAACATTAGGATTTTTGGAAATAATTTATTCGCATTAATTTTAAGTCAATTTATATGTATTTTTGCAATGTCCACGGTTATTATTTACTTAAAAATTTCATAATGACAAATATTATCGATGATTTCGCTGAAAGAGAAACTTAGTAATGTAATGAAGTGGACGATTGTCATTCTTACTTCTATATAAATTATACGAATCACGCACTTATTTATGAGAGACAGTACCCCAACAATTCCACAAAGTGCGCCAAATGCTTTAGCCACATTTCTTGGCACATCGTCCCGGTTAGATTGGCGGTACAAGAGTCGCGCCGTCGTAAATATAGCACGAACTCAATCTTCTGTTTCATGCCATTTCACCATTTTCTTAAATAATGATGATTTTTAGACAGAGGGCGATCTTCTCGAAAAACACTAATTTATAAATGATTACTTTTGCAAAAGAGAACTTCAGATAAATTTATTTAACATATTGAAACAGGAAATGATAGCATCTTTAAAGGCTTTCTCAGCTTAATGTATACCGATGTGCTTAATGTGCCGAACGAAATAGATAATTTCCGAGTTAAATAGCCGCAAGCATTAAAAACGCTCCGGCAATTAATTACTTCTCGTGCGATAAGTTTTAATTGCGTAGACGTAAAAACCGCTGAAAGTTCCTTAATGCTCGGTTACACGTGACGAAGTTTAATCCAATCACAGATAAGTTAAAACGATAACGACTTTTCGGGACGTCACGGTATCAACTTTGGAGGGAAACCAGGCGTCGTAGGAATTTTTCAGGTGGCAAGTTTCGCATGTGAGGCGAGTACGAAAGAGAGAGAGAGAGAGAGATGTATTATGACTTACTTCATCGGACGGGAATGGAATCTCAAGAGGCGCCCTTGCGCCTCCCTAAGCGTAGCCACGACGTAGATCAACGGCTTTCTCTTTTTCTCTCTCACGCGCGAATTAAAATCACTGCATCGCACTGTGTTGCGCCGACAGTTCGCTGATTACGTGTCTGGTTGTTTATATCCTAGACCTCGTCGTCATGTGCTCGCTACCGTGAATGCGAATACGAAAGAAGCCCGTGGCGCGGTGCCGGCGGCATTAAAGATCTCCGGGCAAGGTCGCGTTTTTGCATCGATTATCAGGCCGCGCACGGTGTTCGCTCACGGACTTGCATCCGCTGAACTTCACATGTGCGCGCAATCCCGCCGCTATTTGCTCTTTATCTAATCGCGGCGGCGTATATAAGTTCGACGCGTGTACAATTTCTTGTGTCCACTAATAAACATAAAGATCACATGTTTGTCCGTGTTAGCGGGACGTCACTTTCGCCTGTCTCGTGATCCTCTCGAGTCTTTCCAGCATGATGCTGCACAGTTTATTTTTTTATCTTTTGTATTAAATTAACTTCGTCTTTTTTTTCTCGCGCTCGGAACGCCTTGTTTTTTCCGCTCGCCCCGAGAAACACGATGCGATTCAGCTGGGAAAGATCTGTTTTTCTCTGGAGAAATTCCGATTTGCGAACAACAAAAGCGAATAAGGCACAAGAGCAACACCCCGATACATTCACTCGGCGCGGCGGTTGGCGCGATACTGACAATTGCGTATCGGTCAAAGAGAGGCGCCGTTTCGCGCGATGAGACGCGGTCGCGCAATCGCGTGATCGCCTACGCCGAAGTACTCTTCCCCGCTTTTTTGCCGCCAGAATTAGACAAATGAACGGAACTTTGGGCTGTCTGAAAGAATCGTGGCGCGTACATACTCATGCTATTGCATGAGATTTCGTCATATACATGCGTAGTATCCAGGCAATCAATACGGATACAGTTATCGCATAGTATATCGTGTAACCGCAACAGTCGCACGCTAAATGCATGCCATAACTATGCAGCAGATATTGCTATAGTTTTATATAAAACATTAAAATTTAGATCCAAAAAAGAAAAAGATAATTTTAGTAAAATAGATTTAAAAAAGAACATTTCTAAAAGAAAGTAAAAATTGGGATCAAATATACGCAATGAAAAATTGTTCTACATAAAAGTATAAAATATTTCTTCTTCATCCACAGACACTCGATTAGCAAGAATAATTTTTTAATGATAATGAATTGTTTTTCCGATATGCCAGTTTTGTTTCAAATTATTTTTATAGTAAATTATAATTTACTATCAAGTGTGTTTCGAATGAGAATAAAATCATTTTAATACATTATTTTTCAGTCTCGTCAAATTTTAAAAACTCTAGATTTAGGAAATTGATTAACAAGTCTCATTAAATAATTTCTGAAATTTAGAACTTTTACATTGCTCTTCTCCAATTGAACGAATGAGAGACTTTCGTTGCTTCTTTCAGTATCGAGATATACTCACGGACCCATTAAAATCATTTGACAATTTATTTTGCAGCCTTGACATTGAGTTCCGGTTATATTTGCGCATTTCTCTGTGCATAATATTGCATAATATTTCGTTTTCTTTCTCTCATAAATTTGTATTCATGTATCTCTGCTTTCTTTATAAAAATTCGAATTCCTGCAATGCTTCCATACTATTACCTTCATGACGCACGTCCCTTTCCTGCGACATTAATGCCTGCTCAGTTGCATCATCACATAGCAACGCGTCGCTCGTTTCAATGACTTCCATCTCTTGCATCCAGTCCTCAATGGCTAGTGATCAATTCGGCTTTGCTGCCATTTGTCGATAATAGGCTCTTTTATAATTCTTGCTGTATTTACGCTTGTTCACATTTAACATGTTTCGACAGCAGTCACAATCGACAAACGGAAGTCTATTCGAAACACGGCGTACACAAAACGGTACGAAGGTGAATGTCCTCGCTAATGTTTGAATACTTTTTCTCGCATTCTAAACTTTTAACAATAGGCACGGCAGTAGTTTGCAACGATATTCAGAATAAATCAGAATTATTCAATATTATTCTCACAGTTTATCCAACGTTTAGAAACAATGTTAATATTTAATGATCTGTTTGCTCGAACGTAAATAGACTACTCCTTAGTTACTTCTAGAACATAAGATGATTTAGTACAAAAAACAGTCGCGACAAAAGATCGCGAGAAACACCTATACTTCCAATACAAATAAACGACTGTTTTTAATCATTTCTGATAATAAAACAAAACTTTTTAATAATTTTATCAGCTTCTTACAATAATAGAAATCAAATTTTAATGATATTGAAATCTTTAATTCTTGGATGCCTAACAGGAGTTTTCAAAATGTATCTATACTCTGTTCCACGGCAAAATGATATAGAATTTAATCCGTCACAATTGGATACCTTTTTAAAAACTGCCCACTACGATAAATGAACAATAACACCGTATTAATCAGCAAAGATGCCAACGCCGATGTATTCACGCCGACGTAAATTTATGTCAATGCAAATGGGCTTACCAAGCTAAAAAAATGCCCTGGTATTCGCTTGTATGTGTCCGCCATTGAATGCCGCGATAGGCAACTTCTATTTTCCGTCCACTTTACTATATTAGATGCGTCATTCTCTCTCGCGGAACAAAGTGTAGTGTATTTATTTCTTGCATGATATCCCCGTTATCTTCAATCGAATATTTCTGCGTAAATTTTTCAAGTAACTTTAACGCTCGCCCCCTTTCCTTTGCTTTCACTCAACTCACTTCAGCTTTATTCAACTGAAACGTATTGAAATCGTCTTTCTGCTATTTCAAATTTTTGCAAACCTCAGTTATTGAGTGCACCCAAGGGTTAATAGGCCTTTCACTTGCGTCATCGAGTGGGGATAACGAAACGGTATATGAGGAAACAACCTTCAAGAATGTTTATGTAGCAGCGTGTATATTTGGTTCTTCCTTGATCAAATCTTTACCGTTGTGTTCAATTTTCCGACTTACAATTTCTTCCAGCATTAAAAATTCTGATGCATCTTATACAGATACGCAGATATGCACTACAGTTATGTAATTCCGATCTTACAGAAATGTTTGCTATCGGAGTCGCACGAGGATTGAATAAAAAACGATAGAAAATTATAATCAATGGACGTCACATTAACAACAAGAAGATAGTTCCATTCAGTTTACTTATCATTGAATTATATAACGCAGCATATTAACATATTTGCGCCTCTGACATTATTTGGTCTGCTGACATTTCAGTTTTTTTCCCCTCCTTTTTTTTTTTACATACATCGGCTTTTCTGCATTCGAGAAAGACGACATATATCTTAATCAGCACTCTATTGCATAATTACACAGTGCTGTTCGGATCACCAAAATATATTTGTCTGGATCCGAACCGGTGTTTAGCGATAAATTAACGAAATATCCGAATCGTCGAAATAATTCGTTTGGCCGACATTCGACGGTGTCCGACAGTCGTCTTATTGTTTCACGAAGTATTTGCGCCGCGCTCGCGACGCGCGGTACGTCGCGCCCGCCTGGCACGATCTGATCTTCGCGTCGCGGCATTAAAGTAAGATTGGAATCATTAACGCACTTAGCCTTTTAGTCTAAATTAACCTTTGCTACTATGTACGGGTATTATCGCGCAGTAGAACGTTAACCTTGACGACAATAGATCGCGATCCGGCTACACCCCACGTGCCGTCGCACTGAATGAAAACGTCGGTTTCGAGGCCGCAGGCGAATCGCCGTTAAATAATACAAACGATCGCAGACATAATATCTATGCCCATTATTATTGCACATATGTAATACCGACTCGCTATAGAGAGATTATTCCATGTCCCATATGCGACTAACATTGCCATGAACTCATTTTATTATTGTCTACTTTAATCAGCCATTAATTGCTGGTACGATATTGAAGATGGTATCTTTATTGCTTTTTATAAAATAGTATAATGAAGATAATAAACGTTGAGTTTTCTCGATAAATCTTTTTTGCTATAAAATGCAAAAAAAAAAAACATTTAAAAATATAAAAATTTCGGAAGCGAGGGGGGAATCGTGCGATTTGACAGCAGCAAAATTGATAGAAAAGGTCAGAAGTCATTTCCATGGGTCACTCGCTATTGATAAAGATAAGGGACGACGAAAAAAATATCTGAAAATTACACGTGTACTTACATCGCAATTTTGCAATGCAGTCCGTTCTTGCGGCGCAGAGTACTAAGATATAATTTTAGACCTCGAGGATTGCATTTATCGCTAAATTTCCGCACTGATATTGCCGCCGCTGTGGCGTCAATGAAAATTTATTTTAATTATATTCTTTTTACTCATATCTCTGTTAAACTAAACTACGATCAGTCATCGTGAAATGACGCGCGGGTACAGTAATTATTTGATAAGAGTTTTAATATTAATTGAAATATATACATATATTTTTTCATGAATTGAACTGGGGTATTGCGTCAATTCATTTTCAGTTCAACGCAAGAATAGTTAGAAAATTGGATTGTACATTTAATGAGAGTCCGAAGCCATTATTTTTTAAAAGTGTCTTTATTTCACACGGTGCACTGTAGCAAATAAAATTTCTTAAAATTTTAATTGCGTTTGATAGTTAATACATAATTAGTTTTCAAGTGGCCTTGTACGTATTCAAAATATCGAACGTTTTATTCACAATGATAAAGAAAATATTTTCAATATTTAAAAAACATTCCTTCGATTAATTTATCATCTTTTATTTCAAGTAACTGTGACATTCGATGACTTTCCATCGCAAATATGCGCCGTGACCATGAACTGTATTAAAATTAACAGATATGTAGTTATGCTTCCCACTATCTACAACAGAATCATAAAATAAATAATATACATTTAATTAATTAACGAAGCAGATAATGATTGCGATCGATCACACTCACCGCGGTGAGAAGCGTCGCGTCCACATTAAGACCCTTCGCGGAGAACGTGTTTTCGCGATGCAGTATTTGCAGAGAAAACAGCTGCAACTGCAAGTCGCAAAACAATCAAATACAGACTTTGAAAACAGCGGATTCTTATAAAAATATACAGATAATCTCGCTTACCTCGTCTTTGATCTGCTTGTCGCTGGTGCTGATGAGCACGTCGTGCACGGTGGTGCCGATTGCCACGGCCTGATCCTTGCCGGTCTCGCAGGCCCACACTATCAATGCCATTTTTATAGAATAATACGTTATGGACGTGATGTAGTACGCGTACCAGATCTGCTTGTCTAGGTTGATCAAGGGTATCTTTTCGCGCATCTGCGCTATGTAGAAGTACAGACTGAAAGTGACTTCGGCGAAGGTCATGACGATGGTGGCGAGGAGCTGCAAACTGAAGATCACGTTTAGCATCTGCACCGTGTCGCTGACCATCAGATGCCGTTTTTTCAGCGCCTTCAGCTCCATCAGTAGAAACGGATTTCTTTGCTCGTGATAGATCCGCCTGAGGAGATGCGGCTCGTCGTTCACCACGAGTTCCCGTAGATTCATCAGATTATGGTTGATCCTCTGGAAACAAGCCTTCAGCACGCAAACGCAATTCATGTACAGCATGTCCATCTGAAATACCAGCAGCGTGATGTACATCGCGAACATTTTATAAAGGATGTCGGACATGTTGTAAGATCGGCAGTTCGGTATTTGGCTGAGCAGGAAAGAAAAGCCAATTATGTCTTTGGTGTGGATGATCCTGGAGAGCTTCTGATACGACTCCGGCGGCAGTCTCGCGGAGATCTCCATCACGGTCTGCAGCAAGCGCATTCGCGCACCGCTCAGAATGTACGTGACGATCGCTATGAAAGTGCCGAGCAAGAAGTAGCAGTGAGCCTGAAGAGATCCGGGCACACCGTCGAATCCGATTCTTCCGCTAATGTCTATCTCGTATAATACCGATAATCCATAAGCGCAGAACAGGCCCATAATGACGGACGACAGGATATAGCGCAGCCTGGAAGTCTCGAAGTTCGAGCCGTTGATCTTGTACGGGAATAATCCGAGGATGCGGCAGAAGATGAAGCAGGGAAGCATCAGAGATTGAAAGTCCGTGGCGTGGAATAATCGCCATCTTTTCCGCACTTTGCTCTTGGCTCGTTCTTGGAACTTCGACGACGGACGAAACATAATCAGCGGAGTGTTATTAGAGAACAACAATCGAAATCCACAGATTGCAATCTACAAATTATTCATCACATTATTGACGGAATATGAGCGTCGATGCGATCGTTGGTCGCGAGTGCTTCTTTATGAAGTAGCTCTTAAATTCGTCTTCTGTTCTATCTTCCCTCGACGAGTTTAAGTTCAAAACTGCGAGTGGTTCACATGTCACGTAGCGGGACGGAACGCAAGGATCATTTGTTAGCCATGAAGTAACCATGGCGCTCTTCGATCGACATTTGTCACCCCTGGGATGCAGCGCATAAAGTAATGATGTATAATTGCTGACACACGACTCATTATTTGCGCATCTAGATCGCACACAAGGCGAATCATGTGTGCACGCACGAAACAGGAAGCATTGGGCTGCATAATGTCCATGTCGATCAGTAACTCTCAAAAATCCGATTAACGACGACTCGCGCGATATCAAAGTCTATATTTTCGTTATGCAAACAGAATATTCGGCATTTTTATAAAAAGACTTTAAAATTTCACGTTTTTTATTTTATTCTGATAATTTTAAACGTCAAAACGTCAAATGTACATGTTCTTTTACTCGGACAAAAATATATTGCCGTCAATATTTATTCTTTGTGTTCAATTTATACAAGTAATAGTAAATTTAAAATTAATTTCGCGCGTCTATCATTTGCGCGTAATATTGGCTACTAAAGTTCTGTTAAATCGCGCAAATTTTGAGAAACACTATAGACATAGATCGCCGTGAAAGGCCTATGCGTAAAAAATGTAATGTTCATAAACCGAGTTACGATGTGCAAGGACAATGCTATTATCTAGATTAGAATTAATCGACGTATTCCCCTGACTGATGAAATTGTTAACAGGTACATCGTGATGTACAGACAACAAATTAACCCAAGATGCTCTTTTGTATTTTAGCGTCAATGAAAGAATGAGATGACGTTACAGTGCAAACGTTATCATTACGATAATGCGTCGATCAACGAAGTTTCATCAAATTATCGCTGATGAAGCTCGGAGAGCAAACATGCCTTCAACAAACTATTTATACTGTTTTCGAAAGTTAAACATTAAATCCACTTTAAGTATGATTACGTTTTACTTTTGATGAAAGATGATATATATGTGTGTGTGTGTGTGTGTGTGTGTGTGTGTATGTGTGAAAGCAATAAAACAATTGAAATAAGTCGATCGAAATATTAGATAAAATTAATTGAGAATTAATGAGAATATATCTTTAACAAATTTTAAGAAACGATACATGCTGCATACTACTCTAGGTTTGCCACATTTGCTTTTATTACAAATTCTTTGGTTAATTAAGAGTCTATTTATTTTTTACGAAATTGTTGAGACATCTAAATTGATCAAAGAATCCATAAATGAAAGGCATTTCTTTTAAATTAGAAATGATTATACAATCACGGCCGGCGATTTATTTATTTTATTCTCTACCTTGTGATTTGTCTCTTTCTATTTTTTTTTATTGTTATTATTGAAATTGCTTATATATCAAGTTTTATATCTAATTTCATATATTATTTTTATTTTTTATTTTGTCTGAAGCCCAGAAACCGTATTCTTAAAACAAATCAAGTAATTGTTGAGATATTAAAAATTACTATGAATAACATAATTGCTTTTATAAGACTCTTTATATATATATGATAATTATTGTGCATTTTACGAAATGTAAAGGCATGATCATACTAATATAAGTGCATTTACTTAAAAGAGTACTTCATTAAAATGTAATAGTTATTTAGCATAAGAGCAAATATTTTATCACATACGTATGCTGCTCATTTGCATTGTTTTCCACATAATAAACAATTTACGCGTTACATTTTTGCAAAGGTTTTACGTAATTTGCTTGGTTTAGCGCACAATTGCCGTGGACGCACTTTAAATATTCTGTACATGTTCGCTCCATAAAATAGCGCATTTATTACTTGTCTTTATAATGCTGCGATAATAATCACATTACGGTATATGATAAAAAGCTTGTGTATAAAAATGTGACACGTGGTGCCTGGATGTACAAAGTCTGAATTCTTTAGTCTGTTTAAAAAATATATTGTGCTATATCTACATAATTTAAAATTTTTTATAATAATAAGACACATAAAAAAGGTAATATAATTTTTCAAATCGTATATATCTAAATAAAAATATTGAATTATTATTTTTTTATATATATAAATATTTTAGTATTTGAAATTATATACTTTACGAATAAGAAATACAGAAAGAATGAAAGAATGGGAAAAACCTAGAATACTTTTAAATTCCTGTTTCGTATAATTTTTAAGTTTATCTCAATAAAATACCAAAAGTTTTTACTAAAACAAGGCAAGGTGAAACAACGGTTTTTTATCGGCAATTAAAATTTCTTTAATTTTTTTTAAGATTTTTGAAAATTTTGTGTCTGTTCTAAACATCTGCAACAGTTATAACAATTTCTATGTAGAAAATTAAAAAATTTGTTAAGAAATGTTATCTATATATATTTTATACTGAAAATGCTTGAGAAAAATTAATATAACAAAAATTAATTAAAACAGTAGAAAATTGCAAAATCCTTTCTAAGACATCATTGTAATTATTTGATATCTCAAAATACAGTTAAAATCAAAGATCAATAACTTAGTGATTTTCTCGAGCAGAATTTTCTGCACAATAGCGTTTTCGACTAACAATAAGACGCATCGTGCCAGTGTCTAGAAACTTTAAACTAGTGACTGATCAGTCAGATGTGTATATAGTAATTCGTTACATGCGCATTGAGCTTCGTAGATAGCTTTGCAGGTTTCTAGAATTATGACTCCCAAAGCGTGATAATCGTAGTAATTTTCATATCTTCCAAATTTCTTCCTGTGGCTAAAAATCTTAAAATCGCAATTAATCTTTCTTCGGCACTAATAGCACTTTTTATTCTCGTGTTTTGTTTCGTAATTAACGGTTCTACTAAGTTTAGTAAAAATTGGAAAGATTCATCATTTACGTGTAAATAATTTTTCAAATTGTAATTGCTTGAAATTCTAAACTCCCTTATTAGTATCATGTGTGACAAAGTATTTTTTTCGCAACCAATTTTCAATCCAAAAAGCCCTCTTTTTCTTTTTTATTTCTAGAATTATCAACAGCAAGTATTTTTTTTTACGATAGGCCCATTGCTCGAAACATTTACATACAATTTTCGTGCAGTGAATTTAGAGGCCGAGATTCGCGATTGAATATTGAAATAAATGCTGTATATATAGCGAATGCGTGGCGCGCTTGTGTGGTCTAATAATCCTAAAATACTTAAACTAAAAATGGAAAACTATTAATAACGTTGAATGTACATGCTTTTTAAAGTAAAAAAAAATACTAACTAAACGGTGCAGAAGTATAATTGAAATAAATTGTTTTGTTTTGTGCAGGCTGCTACCAGATGTCGCTTTCAATCTGTTTGGTGCACAGCTGATGCAAGGCGTTATTTGGCGGTATCGCGTGGTATCTTGTAAACGTGAAATGAATAACAGAAAAAATTTGTCATCTACCTTCTATCATTGGATAACACATTCATTGCTATTGGCGAGCTTCCTTTATTACGTTCCGTAGTATTCACATTTTTTGATGCAAGGATATCAAGATAACCTAAAATGGAAGACAATATTGATAAAGGACTTATTACTCGAATAAATTTGGAAAATTTTATGTAAGTGATAAATATATATTAATTTTTGTTCTATATTGTTGCATTAATATTTTATTCTAAATATTATCTACGTTAATTCTATCGTGTAATTTGAAATTTGCTATATGCTTTCAATGTTTCTCAATTTTGCAGCACTTATGACAAAATTACAGTGAATCCTACCAGATACCTCAATGTTATTGTTGGACCTAACGGTTCTGGCAAGTCCACTATTGTGGCTGCTATAGTTCTTGGTTTAGGTGGCAAACCTAATATTATTGGACGAGCGCTTCATATTGGAGAATATGTGAAGTATGGACATGAATCTGCAAAAATAGAAATTCACTTGAAAAATGGAAACAAAAAACAGGATATTGTGATCACCAGAATATTTACCAATCAGGGAAAATCTACCTGGATGATCAATGGTACTCCGTCAAATGTAAAAGCTGTACAGGAATTTACAAGCAGCCTTAATATTCAGGTATATATATATATTTCTTTTTCTTTTTTTTTTGCACAGTTTTTTATATAAAATATATGTCTATTAATTGTTGCTTTTTTGTAGGTTGATAATCTTTGCCAGTTTTTACCACAAGACAAAGTACAAGATTTTTCTAAAATGGATTCTCAAGCTTTATTAGAGAATACAGAAAGATCTGTTGGAGATCCAAAGATCCTTGAATATCATCAAAAGTTAAAGGAAGAGAGGACCAACTTCAAGCAATTGGAAGTTGATGTAGCACATAAAAAACGATTACTAGAATCTAATACTCAGAGACGAGATGGATTACAACAAACTGTTAGTACAATAAAAGAAAGAAAATTGATTAAAAAAAAGATTATAACATTAAAACAAAAAAAAGCATGGATGCTGTATGATCAAACACGCCGAAGATTACTGGAGGTACATAAAAGATTAATTTTATATATTATTAAATATTTTTATTATTATTTTATCAGTACAAGACATGTGATTGTTACTTTTCTTATTATGGAAATCTTTCTGTTTATAACAGGTTAAAACATTCAGAGATGCAGCTGCAAGAAAAATGCAGTCAATAGATAACGAATTAAAACCAGTAAAAAAAAAGGTTGAAGAAATGAAATCTGATATGACAAAGTTGAAAAATACATTAAATAGTCACGTAAGTATGACACAGAAAATAAAGCTACTACTCAAAAGGTTATTTGATAATTCAATTATATTAATTATAAAAAATGTTTTGTATTTTTTCAGAACAACAAAGTTAAGGAGAAGAATGCGAAATCGAGAAGCATTATGGATGAGATTCTTGGTTGTGATAATAAAATAAAAGAAGCTGAGAGTACATGTTTACGCAGAATCCATACAGAAGAAAATCGAGATCGAGATATACATTTAGCACAACAACAGAAATCTAAACTTGAGAATGATTTTTCTCTCATGATTAATGAAATTGGATCAGGTTTGTAATTTGTGATTTAATTATCATAATAATAATTATTGATTAAATATTTATTTTGCAATATATTTATGTTTCAGAGGAAACTTTAACGAAACAACTGGAGAATACAGCGACCAATATGGAAAAACATAGGAAAATAATCAATAAGCTTTCCGCTGAAAATATTTCATTAAAGAATGAAGATGAAAATATCGATCGTAAAGTTAGAAGTATGTGCTTACATAGAAAATCATTATATTATGTGATTTTTAATTTGTTTTATTTTTATTTGTTCATTATTGAATTAACTAATTGAAATTACAATTTCAGCGTTACAAGCAGAACGTCAGATGCTCAATATTGATGTAAAGCGTTTAGAACTTTTAAAACAAAAAAGTATAGACGCGTACAAAGGTGTGGTCTGGTTGAGACAAAATACTGATAAATTTCAAGCAAAAGTGCATGAGCCTATGTTGCTCAATATTAACGTAATAGAGGCTTCATACGCTAAGTATTTAGAAAATATAATACCGATGCGGGATTTAATTGCGTTTACATGTGAGGATAAGCGCGATATGAAACTTCTACTCATGTACTTGAGAGACCAACAGAAACTGCAAGTCAACGTAGTTCATTCTGATCCTATGAAAAAAGTCTCTATGCAGCCAAATATACCGATAGATAATCTTAAAAAATTCGGCTTTAAATATTATTTAGTGTCGCTTATTGAAGCACCACCCACGATAACAAAATATCTGGTCTCTATGTATCAGTTGCACAATATTCCTGTTGGGACCAATGAAGTTGAGAATAATACAGAACATATACCTCAAAGCTTGAGCTGTTACTTTAGTCGTAAGTATATTTTTTAAATTAATATCAGCTTTCGCAAATACGCTTTCCTATAGACTTAACGGCGCTAATGGAATTTTCTTTGCAGCAAACAATGTTTATGCTGTGAGTATATCCAAGTACACGCATGTTATATCAACCAGGATGTCACGGATCACCGGAAACAACATGCTATCAATTGTTTTAGATCAAAACAATCTGCAAAAACTTGAAGAACGGTATGTTAATTGAATCAAAAGGAAATATAACAGTAAATTAAAATAATAAGAAATGTATTTATTTCAGATTACAGAATTTGCATGAAAAAAAGAGCCAAATCTTGAGTGATATAAAAGAGAAGGAATGTACAATAAGCGAGGAAACTGAAAAATTAGATGGTTGTCGGTCTGACAGGAATAAACATCAACAAAATATTCAGCACATTCAAGCATTGCAAGGTAGAATACGTATAACTACGAATAAAATTAAGCAGATGGAAAAGGAGCGGACGAGTATTGATGATATAAATGCAGCATGCACTAAAGATATTAAGGTATTCTTTAATGATATAACACATATTTTTAAAATTTACATTTTACAGAATCTGCATATATATATTTAATAACTTTTCTTCTCTCTCTCTCTCTATAGGATTATTAATAAAAAAACCAACT